TTGACCAGCTATCAAGTGCTTTGTTTCATTCAAGAGAGACAACTCCGTTAATCCTTTTTCATTAGTTTGTGAAGAGTAATCCCCCTTTGTTTACTTGCTAGCAGACGACATTTTCAGTGATCCTCAGTATGGATGATTTAGAGAAGTGGAAGTTGATTTTAGAGTATTATAACAAGGACATCAGATCAGCTAAAGTGATTTCAAGTAGAACAGGCATCTCTTCGTCCACTGTTTATCGTGTTTTGAAACATATTGCAAATGGATATGGCATTGAGCACCAGGGGAGGCGCAGGTAGTATTCGTACCCTCTTAAAATATTTCCAAGGTTACATCCTTGAAGGATCTTTGTAATATCAGTTAACATTTAGTGATTGGGTTTTTAAAAGATATTGAATTGATTGATATATTTTGATTAACATGTACATACATGTATATACTGTAAATAGTAAGTAAACTGTGAGGGTTTGTGGGTGAGCCTCCAAAGGTGGTTGAAGTAGTGTAAAATATCTGACCCCCTTAGAGAAGTTATATCTTGTGATGGAACAACGTTTACGAAAAAAGAACCCTAAAAATAAAACAAAGTTAAGATTTCATCTGGAAGGATACTGTGTGGAGCATCAAAAGTTATGGTTCTTTTTATGTCACAGCTGTACCATATCTGAGGTATTCTGTGTCAATAAGACATTACAGGTCAGTCCGTTCCTACTCATGTGATTGGCTTTTTGAAAATACTGCAGGAATATGTCGCCTTAAGCACCAGAAAATGGCTTCATACACTGATGCCTTAATTTATGTAACATCCTAGACCTAACATCCCCAAAACCTAACAAGACGTCAACTTTCAGCAACCAATATCATCTTATTTGCTTGTACGGACACCATCTCACCAGAATGTTCAGAAGCGTGTTGCAGGACATGCATTTGGCAACTCATGATATAAATTGTGTTACCTGCTGAAGTTGGTTAAACTGTTAACCAGGAATCAGTAGGCAAAAGAACTTGGTGGGAAACAAACAAACAAACAACAACAAAAATAGTTAACATTCAAGACTTTACTTTGTTTACAGATCAAATGGTGTGTACCACAGTGCCATCACTGTGGTGGTAGTACAAATCAGAATGAAAGTACAAATTCAAAGGTAATATAATGCACGAGAAGTGCTTATAGAAATAAAGAGAATGGTGATAGCATTCGTCAACGGTAATCCAACTTGAAAAATAGGCCTAGGCAGGGTATATTGATCTTCTGATAACTTGAGATGTCATGTCCGATGAGAGGCAATAACCACATCCCCCAAGGCAGTTGGCCCTGGGATCGGCACCTTGCAGTACTTTCCAGATCTTTCTGTCTAAACCATGTACAGGTCTAAATATCAACAATCAGCATCAGAATATTAAACGCGAGAAAGAAAACAAAATAAGGATAAAATGTTTTTTATGTTATGAATGTTCAAAGACAGAGTTGTGATTCTGTGTGTAGGTCGGGTTTCGGACTGATAAAGGGTTCTTCCCACGCTGTCCGTCAACAATGACCGTCATCCAAATCACCGAACACGGCAGGACAGCCATAGTTTTCTGTGATTAATTCCAACCCTGAATCCCTAAGCGATTAAGTCATGAACGTTCACACACTCAGAAATATATCATTTCAATCACTTACAGCAAGTCACGAGATTTACAGCTTCATCGTATGCCAGTGATCGATGCTCATGCTGTTTATCACTGGGTAGTCTGGTCAAGATTCGAGTATTTTCAGACAGTCGCCATATAGCTGGAATATTGCTGAGTGCAGCGTTAAACAACAAACAAAAAACAAAGAAACAAACAGGAAAACACATCTTGTTTAATAAAAAATAGGAGTATGCCACGATTCACGAATCAACAACGGCAGCCTGCAAAATCTCTTCAAATCGTCTTTCACGATCTCTCGTCGACCCGCATAGTGTAGTGCGACCTACTACGATTTCCGGTACTTCTTTCTCGTATTTCGATTTTTCTATGCCAAAGGCGTGTTTGGTCTTTTTTTTGGCGCCATTCGAAAGAGACTAGTTTGTTCGGGGGTAGCAACGTATCTGGATTTGGACCTTGGGGATGTAGATGCGTCGGCCTACGACTTCGAGATAGTATAGTTCTCGTATGGGGAGCTTTTGTATAGCATCGTAGTGGTCCTATTTCTACTCATGTAGGTGTAGCAGCCAAAATGTCTACTCGGAATAGAGGCCATGCCCGGAATCCAAAATCGGCTGTAGCCCAATTCTATGGCGCGGTCCCATCGAGTATCATCTTCTACACTGGCTTTGGTGGGTTGTACTTGGATTCCGGAAACTCTTCCTGTGCCTGTGTGCGCATACCAACCCACGAAGATAGTCCCCTGGGGTATGTCCGCAAGCACCATGCAACTGTCTAGACATTTCGATAGATTCTGCCACTGCTTTGCTGGTGGTTGTACGACGAATAGGTTTTCTCTCGAGGTTTTAGCTCTAGTGCTTCGTCTACCAAATCGTTGGCCATTTCGGCGTTGGTCCTATGCGCGTACAAAGAGAGCTCTATGCGAGTACAACCTCTAGCCGTGACATCTGGATGGAGAAAGGTTTTCCACAGGCGTTCATTGGAACAATCTGCATAGTCGGCCAAATGTCCACCAATGTGTTATCGTACTTCTCCGGCTTTGAAATTGGAAACGACTTTGTTGTAGATTTTTGTTCGCATTGTATATCCATTCCTGGTTCCAACCCAAGTACAGACGTGGTTGCCTACACTACCCGTATTGTCTAGGATGGTAGGTCCTTCACAGTCCATGGCGGTTGCAAGATCTCTGTGGTGTCGAAAGTCGAAAGTTTATTTTGGAGGTATTCCACGAGACTCTTTCTATCTAGGGTGCCGGAGAAATCCCTCGTATAGTCGATAGAATACAGTCCATAGCCATGTGCCAATAGAAATCGTTCGAATTTGGAAATACTGGCTTTTATCATCTAATGGAAGGTGTTATCGGTGCAATAAAGCAATCTGATAAACTTGGTATCCAAATCTGATAACTATGCAAGATCCACGAACTACTTTAAAAAAACCTCCATACACGCCATGCGAATCCTACAACGTTAACATTTTATTGATGACGTCGTCGCGAGTTTACATTGTTTGTAAACAAACACGGCTGCCCCCATTCTCAAAATTGGTGATTCTGTAAGAATTGATGACAGAAATTCTGAAGTAGTTACTGCAGTAATTGACTTTGGAAAACATGAAACGGAGTACCTCGTTCAAATTGAAGGTACGGGTTATGAGGCACCACTGAAAGGCAATCGTCTAAGAAAGGTACCAGCCAAGGATTTCGATCTATCGATCACAATACAGACGACGAATCGATTCTGTCAGGTATCAGAAACTGTAATTGATGAGGCGATTACCCGCAATGAAAATAGAAACACAGCTAAGAAAACCGATTGTATTGTTCTTTTTAAGACAGAAAAATCTTATTTTAAGCATGAGTTATGTTTGCACGGTATTAGCGACTAGTCACCACCATATGCCGCCGTCATTAACGACCTTCACCTTAGTTTACCGCTAAGAATTCTTACGCGAATGCTCGATTCTCTTCAAATAAATTCACGTACGAGTTGCTTCTTTTTTAGAGTAATTTTAAGAATGACATTACATGATAAAGAGATTATTTCGTGTGTTTCCATATCATTAATATCAAATATTAGGAATAAAAACAGTACAACACAAAGTGAGTTTCTTACCTACCACGTGTTGGCCTTCTTACTCTGTTAGTTTCTAAAAAGCTTATCTTATAATCAAAGATGGCCACCTGGCGGTCACACTGAAATTCCAATTTTAATGACATGAACAAACGTAAAACACACCAAGGCAATAACCTCGTTTCATTTTCAAAACGTTTCATTCTTAAAATAATCTTTTTTCAGACGTGATCTAAGTAAATTTCAAACATGCTTAAGACTTACTTATGAGTATGAGTGTGAATCCAATGATAACATTGGAGATGTGTAGCAATTTATTCCAGACTAGCACCAATCGACTTCTCTATTAATCAATGTAGGTGACTGAGTGGGTCAGATTGCTGACGTAATGTTCTGGCGATTAGATGCCTATCTCTGACAGGACTCGACCTAAACAACTACTAGAATCTGTTCTTTACAGAGAACGTGTAGTCCCAAATATAACGAAAGGGTATACATATCCTGTTCTGTCAGTAGCAAAGTCGATCGATATCCTCAAATGTATGTAGTAGTGCGGCCATTTTATGATCATCTTATGATTTTTGTAATGTTTACATTGCATTCTAGGATATCACGCATACAATATCGCCCTTCACCAAACACAAACATTTGCTCAGAATAATTCATGATACATTATTATAGGTACGTCAAATCTACAGCTATGTTACAAACGGTCAGTTATTACGATGTATAATACAACTATAAATCTCAGTCGGAAAAGGTGTCATCTTAAAATGATGATTTGCTTTTGTTTATGGATTTTTTCTTTTGTTTATTTTATTATGTTGGGTTATTTGGATCAGGTTATACACAATCAACTATTACTTATTATAATGAAACTATAGATCTCAGTCGGAAATGGAGTCAACCTAAAGTGGTAATTTCTTTTTGTTTATGGATTGTTTTGTTCCTTTTATAACATTTATATGTCGGTTTGTTTGTTTTACCGTCTTTGTTTCTACCTTGATGTCTTCCTAAAAGATTATCGAATACAAGTACATCAGTAACTGTTTCAGGAAGTATATGCAAAATTATGCGAATTATGTCTGTGTGTCATATGATAACTAAATTTCCCTGCGTCAAATATTTCCCAGTTTGTTAACGACACACCTGCAATTGCCGGTTAAGCATGTATTCATATCAGTTTAGTTTGTCTTCATTTTTTATCTCTAATTTAAAGGAGTGCATGTGAAATGGCATGTGTTGTAACCTGGGCATGTACATATAAAGACATTACGTGACAGTATTCTTCCTTCTCGCACCTGGAACTGGCAAGGTAGGTGGGTTCAACATGTAAATATGTATTTGAATTTTCAATAACCAGAAGTTGTTGATATATTTTTCTTGAGAGGATTTCCATTTCAATCATTTGAATGCTTAAGATTCATTACTTGAACGAAAGGAATTGGGAGAAGTTTATCTACTTTAGGCCCAAACAGTTAATACATTCACAAAGATTCTGCAAACCTTTGCACTTGGACGGGTATGGATAATAGTCCGAATTCCAGGATTAACGAATCACCATATCGAGAAAATATATCTGTATATGTACGGACGTTCATGACTTAACCTGTGGAGGCTCCTGTATTTGCTACACAAGGTGACAAGATGGATCGGGTGCCAGGTTTGATGTCTTGGTTGTCGGTCATCGTTCACGGATTGGATCGCTTTTCACGGTATCAGTGACTGGATTTAGATATTTATTCCACGCAACTGACTGAGTTGTCTGTCATCGTTCACGGTATCAGTGACTTGATGTATTCCTTTATTCCCAGAAAGCTCGAAGTTATTCTGGTCTTTGACATTTAATCTTTGATGTGGATAATAGGCCGAATTCCCTGTATTAAGGAATCACCGTTTTGAGAAAATACACTTGCACATGTGTGGACGTTCATTACTTAACCCTGTTCTAGCCACACAGTGCGGCAAGATGGATCGGGTGCCAGGTTTGACGACATGGTTGTCTGTCGTCTGTCACGGACTGGATCGTTTTCACAGTATCAGTGACTGGATTTAGTCCTTTATTCCAAGATCACTGGCACATAGTACATGTATCACACTGTGTGTCACTGGACTGTCCTGTCCAGACTCCCGAAGTGATTCTGGTCTTTGACATTTAACCTTTGATGTGTGTTCACAGAGAATGCATTGCTATATACACTTAAGTAATTGCTTCGTTTCATAAATCATCTAGATCTGTGTCAGTCCTTAAAAATGTGACAAAAAACACGGCACGATTTGTGTTGTTTTTTCAGGAACAAAGAAAAAATATCACCATGAAATTTGCGATCTTCCTCCTCTGTCTGATTCCCCTGGCTCTTGGCGAGAAGAGGTTTCTCCATAGACAGCAGTGAGTTGTTTGTTGTTGACATCGTACTTGGTTGTATTGCAGCTCTACGACGGTGGTAATATAGCGACACAAACCTTTCCACATACATTAGAATCTCTGCTTAAAGCCTGGTCGAATGTTTATTTCCGATAATAGTGTGAGAATGTGTTTATGAATCACTATCAAATAGTGATGATACCAGGAGAGCGTATCCTGCTGCATATGTGGCACCCTTTATACATACATGTCAGACTGGACATAAAGAGCCAGTAGAAGTCATCCCTCTTGTCATGCAGTCATACGCCATCTTGAATCTTGTCCATAGATTTTGATACAGAACATATGGCGCAGTCACCTTTATTACAAGTTCAGGGCCCCGATCCATAAAGCGTATGCAGCACTACATCATTTGTAATACAGTGATAAACTATATAGTTGCGATAGCTGATAATGCTACGAAAACTTTGTGGATCTGGACCCAGGTGAGGATGGTTATTGAACGGTAACAAATCAGCAATACACCTGGATATTCGGGTAAAGTTAGGGGCAAATTACCTTGTTGTGATTTTTGCCAAACTGGGAAGAAATTCTTGAATCGTATTCATATTGAAAAAGTCTTCAAGCGAGGAGCACAATTGGGGCCCGTGAGATGTCTATTTCTCTCTAACTGTTTTACGCCCGTATTTACCTACATGTTATCAGTTAGGATCTTCAGCATTTCAAAATTGTTTTCTCAGTAAACTTTAGATATCATATGCTTTCATCTATTGCAATGAACCTCTCATGAAGCAGGATATGTAACTATAAATATGCCACGTGTTTTAACATATGTCCTATGGAACAAGAAACGACTCATTACGTGAACAAATACCCGTGCTCTCAAACTGGTCAACCAGCCAAGCCTGGCCACCGGATCCACCACAGGTCGTCTTTATAACCCGCGGTTTGTTTAAATCCCTATAAGTGGTGCGAGAAAAGTGATCTCGAATCTTCTTCTGTGTTGAAACAATGGCGACACGAAGACCCCGTTTAGTGGGGATTCAGAAACATATGCCTATGAAATTGTACAATTTCGAATTTCATGAGAAACGTTTGTTCGTGATTGGTAAATGTTTGTTTTTGTCCTAGAAACTAGAGAAAGTGAAATACTTCTCGCACTGTTTTCTGTAGGTACAAATACTGCAAACAACTGAATGTAAAATATTGTATCTAGTACCATATGTAACGAGAACTGATTGGTCGTTCCTTGTTTCTGACCTACACAAAGAAACATCTCACGTGATGCATTCAAGATCTTGGTTGAATTAGATCAGTTCAGATCAGTTCATGTTTTGTCTTATCTTTTACCAGTTTAAGGGGACTGAGTAGACTAGTCGTTAAAGCGTTTGCTCGTCACGTCGAAGACCTGGGTTCCATTGCCCAAATGGGCACAATATATAAAGCACATATCTGGTGTCCCCCTTAAAGCGTTATGCACTCTCTTACGCATTCAATCTTTGACATTTGTCAACACTGATTCGGTATACTGTGACACTGAGCATATAACTGACTCTTGGTTATCCAAGCATGATGTTTCACATGTGCACACTGAGCCCACTCTGGTCTGCCACACCACAAACATATCCACCCACTAACTCCGTTTCAGTCCTGGATACGTCTGAGATTGGAAAGCTGGTCAGCTCGGTGATCGCAAAGTTCGGGTCTGACGCCAGTGAGCAACAGTGTGAAGCCGAGTGCCTGACCCTGTTCAAGAGCGACATCCTCGACTCTGCTTGCGACTTCGCCTGCAAAGGGTGCGTCAACACGTGACTGTAGATTTTTCCATAGAGGGCATATTCATCTGTCAGTGATTGGAAATTACAGAGGGGTTGTGAAGTTTGGATCTCATTTATATCAAATGTATATCGATAAGTGATCGAGTGATGGATTACCTTCCATTTACAACTATTTTATTTGTTTTTCAAATGTTCAGGTACTACTGAATCACTCAGTCGTAACTACGGGCACTCATATATTCCGTCATTGCGCTCCTCCATTGGGTAGTGTGTGGAATCATTTACACTGCATAGTGTGTGTTCCCATTTACACTGGATAGTGTGTGCATCCCTTAACACTGGATAGAGTGTGCACCGTGTTACACTGGGTAACTTTTTGAACATCCTGCTTCACATCCTGCTTCAGCTCGGACAAACGCTTTTGTTCCATCTAGGGAAGAACTCTATTTCTTTTTTCTCTTTCCAGAATCCAGACACTCATCCAAAAGGTTCCCCACCAAGACCTAGCCACCACCTCGTCCGCATAAATTGATCTCTACACCTGAATAAACTTAAATGGTCTGTTGACAGTTGAGCTGTACATCTTTTCATTAATTCAGAGTTGTTACGAAAAGGTACATGCAACAAAATAGAACCCTAAAATCAAAAAGGGAAGATTTCATCGGGAAGCACACACTGTGTGGAACAACAAAACCATGGTTCTTTTTATGTGACAGCTGTACCATATCTGAGGTATTCTGTGTCAATATGATAACACAGGTCAGTCCATTTCAACTCATGTGATTGGCTTGTGAAGATACTGCAGCAATATGTCGCCTTAAGCACCGGAAGTTTGCTTCATACACTGATGCCTTTAACTCGTGTAACATCCTAGACAAATATCATTTTCAACAAAAGTCTCACAATACATCAACTTTCAGGAACCGACATCATCTTACTTTTCCTATACGGACACCATCTGACCAGAATGTTCAGTCAGAGGAATGTGTTGCAGACATAGATTTGTCAATTCATGATGTGAATTGTGCTACGTGTTGCTTCCCAAGTCGAAACAAAAACATGTTAACCGGGAATTAGTCCGTAACAGAACCAGGTGGGAAGTTAACAAACACCAAAGAATAAAAGACGTAATTAAGTTCACAAATCAATACAGAGGCATCACTATGGTAGTTTACAAAACAGAATGACACGACAAATCCCAAGGTTACCGAAGAAGTGGATATATCAATGAAGAGTGTGATAATATTCAACTTGCAAAATAGACCTAGGCAGGGTATAACGATCATCACACAGTGTTGGTCTTCTGGTAACATGAGATGTCATGTGCGATGGGGGGTAATAGCCAGCTTCCCTGAGGCAGTAGGACCTGGGATCAGCACCTTTCCAGATCTTTCTGCCTAAACCATGTACAGGTCTAAATATCAATAATCAGCATCAGAATATTAAACACAGTATAGAAAACAAAACAAAGATTAAATGTTCAAAGACAGAGCTGGCAATCTGTGTACGTTTGGGTTCGGACTGATAAAGGGTTCCACTCACTCCATTGGTGAATGGTGACTCATCCACATCTTTGAAAATGGTGTGACAGGCACAGTTAGCTGGGATTAATTCTAATCCGGAATCCTTAAGCGGTTAAGGCATGACCGTCAACTGGACAATCCGGCACCCGTGAAGAGCCCCCTCCTCGTGGTGGGTGCTGTGTAACGCTAAGCGCTCTTCGACCCCCCGTTGTGGACCCGGGGGTATATTTGGTCCACCAACCCGTTTGCCGTTGGTTGCGCCCCTGTGTCGGTGGAGGACGGGAGGCTGGTGGTTGAGGCAATAGGATCCTGGAACCGTGTTCCTTTGCCCAACACACCACTTCGCCCATTACTTCACCTAGACGGGTGGTAGAACTGGCCCGGTTCTATCAATCGGCTGGTCATGTCATGCCCTGAGTATGGACAGCGTGTTGTTAACAGCTGTTGTTCACGGCAGGTCTATCTAACACTACTTACCAGTGACTTTTGTGTTTTGTTATATTGCCTAGAGTCCAATGCCAGAAGGCGGTGGCTCATGGGCCAATCTGGATATACGAACCTCTGACTTCTGTATTTCTTGGGAAAAGTGTCATGGGCCGAACCAGCCTGGCATTTCTTCTTTAGTCATTGCAGCTTTTCATGTTTTTTTATATCTGGAGTATAACGCTTCTGTAACCCTAATGTTGCAGATTGGTTTCGCTGCAACATTGTCCTTGTTGACACTCCATAGTGGGTGGAGAACAGAGGTGTCGAATCACATTACTATAACCATGGCTCACAATACTTTTCCTGGTTCATCAAAGCACAAACGCCGTCATGTTGATGGTTTATCATCTGACGAAGAAATCCTTCAAAACGTCACAGATTCTTGGCCGAGATTTTCATCATTGCATCTGAGGATGGCAACTGTTAAAACTTAATCCCTTTGTCATTGCTAAAGGCATCAAAGGTGTCTGTGGCGATGTTAAGAATGTTTCACGTCTCCGAGGTGGTTCTATCCTAGTGGAATGTGCAAGGAGACAACAATCAGTTAATCTGCTGTCCTTAAAACAGTTTGTTAACACTACAGTTGTTGTCTCTTTGGAGCACAAGACACTAAACTCATGTCCAGGGATAATCAGGGACCGAGTTTGTTGTCAGACATGAGCGAGGAAGAAATTGCAGCTGAACTAAAGAATCAAGGAGTTACAGCCGTTAAACGCTTTACCAGAAAACAAAATGATGAAGTTGTCAAAACAAACACTTATCTCTTTACTTTTGGCCTTGCAGTCCTTCCAAAATCAATCAAAGCTGGGTATTTCAATATCGGTGTGGAAGTTTATGTTCCAAATCCTCTACGGTGCTATAAATGCCAGCGATTTGGACATGGAACAACAACTTGCAGAAATAGCAACGGTGTGTTACCGTTGCAGTGGTAACCATGAAAGCACTGAGTGCACAAACGTAATCAAGTGCGCTAACTGCAATGGAGAGCATTTGGCCTCCTCAAAACATGTTCCTTTTTCCAACGAGAATCTGAAATTTTAAAATCAAATATACCCAAAATATTTCTTTTCTTGAAGCCCAAAAATTGGTTCCAAATCCTTCTGAAACTCCTACCAAAAATATTCAACTGTCATATCTTCCCACTTCCAGTCAATAAAGTTGCCACAACCTCCGTCATGTGTCAGACATCAATTTCCTGAATTACAAACCAACTCATTCTAGATGATGTTTCTCAGATGTCGACGAAACAGATAGACACATCTGTGTCATGTTCTCAGACAGAGAAATTGTCGGAACCCTTAAGTGACGTCATGTCTGAACCAGATTTGCAAAATGGTAAAGATGCATGCAGTAGCCATGCACACTTATCAAACAGTGAAAAGAAAAAACTAAAGAAAAAGACCAGGGCTCTCCAGCACGTCGAGGTGCCTCCTGGGCCATCTGTTGTAGAGGTTCACAATCCATTTGAACCTTTAGAGATGGAGGTCAGTCCCACAACCCCAGTAGATGGAAATAGACCCCACTCCCGATCAAGAACTCCAATTAAGCCTCCATGAGCTCTACAACCATTATTCAGTGGAATTGTAGGGGACTAAGGAATAATCTTAATGATTTACATTTACTTATACAAGATTTTAGACCGTCAGCATTTTGTTTACAGGAAACCTATTTCAAAGAAAACGATCGATTTGATGTACGACAGTATAATTCATACAATTATTATTCTCCCCCAGGGCCAAAAGCCACTGGAGGTGCTTGATATTAGTGAGGCAGGACATAATACACAGTCCTGTTCCTCTGAAAACTGCACTTCAATCTGTTGCTGTACGTGTGACCATGCACATTGTTTTTTTACTTTGTGCTCACTCTATGTGCCCCCTTTCTTCTTCTCTCCAACCTGCTGATCTTCAAGAACTCTACGACCAGCTTCCCAAACCTTGTATCATCATGGGAGACTTGAATGGCCACAATCCCCTTTGGGAAGTCCACATACAAACTGTAAAGGAAAGTACTAGAAGACTTTCTTTCTAACAACAATCTATGTCTCTTTAATGATAACTCTAACTCATATTTGCATCCTGGAACGGCTACATATTCTTCTCTCGATTTATCCATAACAGACTCTGATCTCCTGAATGAGTTTGATTGGTCAGTCCATGACGACCTATGTGGAAGTGACCATTTTCTAACCATTCTAAAAGCTGTAACTCCGTCTGATGTTCCTCCATGTTCCAAATGGAATTTCTCAAAAGCTAACTGGCCTTTGTTTGAAATAATGTCATCTAACAAATTAAAACCTGAACTCTTTAGAGATGTTTCCGACCCTGTGCAATTCTTTTCTGATGAACTAAAACAAAATTGCTGACGAATGTATTCCAAAGTCCTCTACAAATCCTCACATACGTAAACCGTGGTTTAACAATGACTGTAAAAGTTAGGAAGGCACGGAAAAAGCTGAACACTATTTCCGTCGCCATCCAACGGTGCATAATTTGAATAAATATAAAATTTCCAATGCTAAAGCCCGACGTACAATTAAGCACAACAATAAACGCCAATCCTGGAGAAATTATTTGTCGAAAATCAATTCACGAACGCCTATGTCCAAGGTGTGGAACATGATACAAAGAATTAAAGGTAAGGGTACTAAATCGAGCATCCACCATCTTAAAATGGAGATCAATTATTGACAGATAAGTCCGATATTGCGAATAAACCAAGGAAACTCTTGCCAAACACTCTTCCTCTTCTAACTATGTGCCTCAATTTCAAAAAATATCAAAACAACAAGAGAAGAAAATTATAAGTTTCAATTCAGATAATGGAGAGGATTATAACGAAATTGTTTCTATTCATGAGCTCCATAATGCTCCTGAACAAGCTCATCATACCGCTACAGGAGCTGATAACATCCATTATCCAATTTACCAGAACCATGCTTACAAACCTTGTTAAATATATTTGATGATATTTGGACATCTGGTACATTCCGATCATCATGGTGTGATGCCATAGTTGTGCCCATTCCAAAACCTGGACGTGATCATACTGATCCCTCAAATTATCGACCCATTTCCTTGACTAGTTTCGTTTGTAAAACTATGGAACGAATGATCAACAATAGATGAATATGGTATTTGGAATCCAATAATTTAATTACAAATATTCAGTCGGAAAAACCGAAGTTGTTGACCATTTAGTCCGCTTGGAGTCATTTGTTAAAATGCAATTATTAATAAACAACATGCAGTGTCTATCTTTTTCGATTTAGAAAACGCATATGACACTACGTGGAAATATGGTATTTTAAAAGATTTACATGATTTTGGATTACGAGGCCGTTTGCCTCACTTCATATCCAACTTTTTAACTGACAGGCAATTTCAAGTCCGCGTGGGTTCGACCCTATCTGATCATTATCATCAGGATCAGGGTGTGCCACAAGGCAGTATTTTGTCTGTCACTTTATTTAGTATCAAAATTAACAGTTTATCTAAAGTTTTAAATGATTCACCTGATGGGTCACTTTTTGTGGATGATTTTAATATTTCTTGTC